ACATCCCATCGCCGCTCGCTACTGGGCCTGCGCATGCGCGAAGTTTTCGCGCATAGCCACTTCCGGGCCTGCCCCAGGAGGTGGGGTTGTGGGCATCACGCCCTTCCCCACGTGAGCGGGGAATCCCATCCGCCCCCACGTGAGCGGGGAATCCCATCTCAGCCCCCGCGAGAGCAGGGGAATCCCATCCGGCCACGCCTCCTGGCCAGCCAATCGGCTGGCTGGAGGGGGCGTGGCTTGCCCTATTTAGGGCCGGAGCGGAGGGGGCTCGCCCTCTCTTCTCCGGCTAGCCCCATCGCCGCTCGCTACATCCCATCGCCGCTCGCTACTGGGCCTGCGCATGCTCGGCGAGCACACGCGGGGCGGCGAGCGAGCGAGCTCCCACATCCCATCGGCGCTTGCTACTGGGCCTGCACGTGCGCGAAGTTTTCGCGCCTTCGGGATTCCCTTCAGCAGGCATCAAGCAGCCTACCTCCCTGCTTTTTCCAATTAAGGCAACCTCCACTCTCCTGCCCCTCCGTGTTTCTCACCCCAAAGCCTTGTGGGCAGCAGGAAGTGGGGCCGTCCTGCCTCTACCCCACACCGGGTGGCTGCTGACACGTCCCTTGGGCAGGAGAGGCATCCGGCTGGATGAAGGCAGCGACGCCGGGGGAACGAAACAGCACGGCAGGTCTGAGTTGGTGCCTGGAAGGACACAGACTGCTTCATGTCGCTGCATTCCACAGCTCCGAGACTGGCAGGTGAGTGCGTGCACTCCTCTCTCTCATTTTATTTAATGTGCATTTTAGAAGCATGTGGAAATATCCTGCGTCATCAACCACTTTGGGGAAAGTGTGCGTGTGTGTGTTTGGGGCTAGATTTCATGCATGCCTTTTTTTTTTAAGTTCTCCTCCTGCTTCATCCACATTCACCCCCCAAAAGGCCATTTTCTGCGTGCTGAATAAATTCTGCAACTCAAACGGCACGAGGTGCCAATGCATCGGGGCTGTGGAATTTATTCTGCTTGCAGAATTCTGCAACTCAACCGCATTTTGATGTTGGAAACTGCCAAGGAGTTCCCCCTTCTGGCAAACAAAGCTATTTTGACATTGCTCCCATTTTCCACTACATATCTCTGTGAGTTGAGCTTTTCAAGCATGATTGCTATAAAAACTAAATACAGAGAGAGACTGAGAGCTGTTGACGAAGAGCTACGTGTGTGTCTTTCTTCGATTCCAGCCAGAATATCAGCTTTGTGTTCAGCCAAACAGGCCCAGGTTGCGCACTGAATCAAGTATTTTATAATTTTTCATATTTCTGTTTACTTACTATTTCATAATAAAGTAATTATAAAATACTTTCTTTGTGTTTATTTGATTCCTATTAAAGAGAGTTACTTTATATATAGTCAATATAGGCACAGAGTTAATTTTTTAAACATTTTCTAATGGTGGTGTGCCTCGAGATTTTTTTCATGAAACAAGTGTGCCTTTGCCCAAAAAAGGTTGGGAAACACTGCTTTAGAATACATCTGCAGGCATTCTGTTTTTATATATGTTGGAAGCCACCTAGAGTGGCTGGGGCAACCCAGTCAGATGGCTGGGGTTTAAATAATACATTATGATTATGATTATGATTATGATTATGATTGACTAGGATGTCCCTATTTTCATCGGAGAAATGTTGGAGGGTATGCCAGTGAAACCAGAGACCTACTGCCAGCCAGTGTAAACCATGCAGGGCTAGGCAAAGTAAAGGTCTGATTTTATGAAAGGCAACTTCCTGTGTTTCATGGAAAATCTTCCCCACTACACATTAGATGAAATTCAAAGGCCTGTTTTTGAAGACACTCTGGCTCTAACTTTGATATGTTCACTGTCTAATTCACTGCAATAGTTAATTGTTCTTTGAGGGTTACTGAGACCTCTGAGTTTAGGGTGGTATAAAATTTCAATAAATAATATTCTGCCACCACAAAAGAAGTTAGTTTCTGCCCAGTCTACAGGAAGGGTAGGGAAAGTTTTCAATCTGAGGGCTGTGTTGGCTTTTGGGCCATCGTCCAATGAACACATGCAATTGGTGGGTGGGGCCAGAGGCAAAAGTGGGTGGAGCAATGATTGCAAGTACAGTATTTACTTTTGTACAATAGGCTAGTTTCTACAAACACTCCCACACTTCCCTCTCTTTAATCCAGACAGGCAAGAGGCATATTCAGAAGAATAAACCATCAAGGAGGATGCAAAGAAGGACTTGTTGGGAGTGTGGCTTGGCAAAAGTCCCAAGTGCCAGACAGAAAAGCTTGTGGGGCCACATTTGGCTCCAAGGCATGAGGATCCCCATCCCTGGCCTACAGTTTGCCTGCAGCCTCCAATTTCAGAGGCAATATTTTGGGACACTGGTTCACAATTGGTTGTCCATAGAACCCAGGGGGTCTGTGTAACCCATCTAGGGGGTCCATGGAGCCATTCTCATAACATAAACTACCGTACAGATATCAAAATTTTCATGGCTTGGCTTTTGAAAAATGGGGTCTGCAGTACTTAGCTAATTGGGAATTGCAGTATGCTAGGGGATACCAGGGAGAACGCTGGTGGCATTGTGGGTTATACCACAGAGCCTAGGACTTGCTGATCAGAAGGTCGGCGGTTCGAATCCCTGCGACAGGGTGAGCTCCCGTTGCTCAGTCCCTGCTCCTCCCAACCTAGCAGTTCGAAAGCACGTCAAAGTGCAAGTAGATAAATTGGTACCACTCCGGTGGGAAAGTAAACGGTGTTTCCGTGTGCTGCTCTGGTTCGCCAGAAGCGTCTTAGTCATGCTGGCCACATGACCCGGAAGCTGTACACCGGCTCCCTCAGCCAGTAAAGTGAGATGAGCGCCGCAACCCCAGAGTCGGTCACAACTGGACTTAATGGTCAAGGGTCCCTTTACCTTTACCTTAGGGGATACCAGCTGCTGTCAACAGTAGGAGAGGGCTATTGTCCTCATGTCCTGCTCCTTGTGATGGCAACAGGTAAAGTCTACAGTACTCTCTAACCAAGTTTCACTAGCTAAACACTGCTCACTTTGCACACGAAAGGGTTTCAGCAGGTAATTGGACCTATCCTAAAACACCAGCATTCCACCTTGTTGCAGAGTCTCATGTGGCTTCTTATGCCCAGCCTGGGTTGATTCAATAGCTATGGTCATTTTATGGATTGGGCCTGACCTCAGTTGTCCATGCTCTGGTGACCTCCCATCTGGACTACTGTAATGTGCTGTATGAACCAGACATCATCATCATCATTTTTATTATTTATACCCTGCACATCTGGCTGGGTTTCCCCAGGCTTACAGCATACTATATACAGTGGTACATCGCAAGACGAATGCCTCGCAAGACAAAAAACTCGCTAGACGAAAGGTTTTTCTGTTTTCAATTTGCCTCGCAAGACGAATTTCCCCTATGGGCTTGCTTCGCAAGACGAAAACGTCTCGCGACTTTGTTTTCTTTGTCTAAAAACAAAGACATGTTTTGTTTATAAAGTTAATTTATTTTCCCTTCAATTTTTGAACTGCTCTTTACAGTATGTGTGACTTTAAAGAGCAGTTAATAAACTGTTGTTGTACCAAATTTGGCTTTGTTTGGACTTTTTTTGACCATAGGAACGCATTAATTGATTTTCAATGCATTCCTATGGGATTTCGTGCTTCGCAAGACGAAAAATTCGCTAGACGACAAAAATTGCGGAACGAATTAATTTCGTCTTGCGGGGCACCACTGTATAAAAAATTGTAAAACATCAGACAATAAAATTTTTCCTGATACAGAGCTGCCTTCTGATGTCTTCTAAAAGTCAGATAGTTGTTTGTCCTTGCAAATAGAGGGCTGCCCTTTGTGAAAAAAGACATGTGAGGCCACTGTGAGAACAAGATGTTGGAGTAGATGGGCCTTTTGCCTGATCCAGCAGGACTTTTTGTATGTTCTTATTAGCTGAGCATGCGTGCGCCCTCAGGCATGTCCCAGATTCCATGTGCAATGGCTGAGAAGCGTGGATCCCTCAACAAGGTGGAAATGGTTTCACAGACAGAAATGTTGAATGCTGCTGCTGTAAAAGAAAGTAATTACTATGGTTGGTTTCCATTCTGGTTACATTATTAGAAGCAGACAGCACTGACCACATTAATAGAGAGCCCCACAAAATTATGATTAACATCCAGCTCATTACTGTGGGAAATAAATGCTTGCATGAATCTAGACTATGGTTACAAAATCCCTTTTCTGACCCAGAAGGCTTTTGCTGGCTTAAGGATATTCCTTTGTTTCTTAACCCTTTTCAAACTGGATTTGGCATTAATGTATGCTTAAAAGAAAAAGAAAAATCAAAGAGGAAGTGCCTGATGAAATTGGAGGAAGTTTCTTTTCAGATTTGAAGCGCTGGAAGTAATTTAAAATAAGCAGCGTTATCCTTTGCACAAATGTAATCGCGATCTTTACAACGGAGGCAAACTTGAAGGGCCACCTTATTCCACATGTGCCTTCCTGCTCAGGTCAACAATGGGGGCCTTGCTCCATTTCCCCAGGCTCTTAGAGCAAGGGATGAGAAATCTTTATTGCCTCACAGGCAATCTTCTGTGGGACATGGCGTGCGAGTGTCCGGCAGAGGAAGAGAATGGGCAGGTGTGGAGTCCCATGCCCCCCATCTCCCCCTTTAAAATACACACTTCCTTCTATGGGGGTCATGAGGGAGAACGACGTCTCTTCCTTCCCCTCCATTTTGCCAGTGGTGGCAGCAACAGGGAGGATCTTGGGACTGGGGGTGGCTGTGAGGCGATGGGAGAGTTTGGGGGTGAACTGTGAGGGGTGGGGTTTGGCAGGTAGGGGAGAAGGGGGGTTGGAGGAGGGGGTTGGAGGAGCTGTGGGAGGTTGTTGTTGTTGTTGTTGATGAATAATAATAATAATAATAATAAATCACCCATCTAACTGGGTTGCCCCAGCCACTCTGGGCAGCTTCCAACAATTATGAGACCACAGGAAAACACCAAACATTAAAAACTTCCCTATACAGGAAAGTTAATATATAAATATATATATATCAACACCGAATATGCATTTTTAGGCATATTTTCTCACAAAATTATTGAAGCGTATTCCATCTCAAAAAGATCATACTCAAAATGCATTTTGATCCTTTCTTTCGCACCCCGAAATGCAGAGAAGTGCAAAATCCAAAGGTGCCTGGGAGCAGATCAGGCCAACTCGTTGAAATTCAATACCGCTGAATTCCTAACGCGTTCCTGCTTCACGGTGGTGTAGGCAAGGCCTGCAAGGCAGGGTCTTATCTGCCCCGGCGCCAAAACTCTGGAAAAGGCAAGGAAAGATTGACGCAGGTGCCGTTTCCCTTTCAGTCAGTCCCTTTTGGTTGTTTTTTAAGGCTGTTAGGGAAAGCATAAATCGATACTATGGTGCTGCTAGACATTTTCAAAGTATTATTCCCTTTTCCCCCTGCGGTTGTTTTATTTTTTGAAGCAGCTGCTGTGTGTGTGAATTTGTTCCCTCAGAACAGTTTCCCTCAGCAACAGTTCACTGGGAGAAATGGCCGTTTGCCTCCTGCCTTCTCTTCTCCTAGAACTGCCATTTCAAATGGTCATTCGAAGGCCAAATGTATGCATCTTTTGTGATTTCAATAATTGGCACTTGAATTTGCTTCCTTATGCTTTAATATGCTTATTATCCAAGGCCTATTGTCAGGCCGGAAGGCGACATATAAATATTTTATGTAAGTACCTGACAGTTCCAATTTTTGTTTCAGTTTGCTTACGTTTCTTTCAGCAGTTTTCATGAAATAAAAATCCTCACTGTATATACATTTTGTTAATATGCGAAGTATCACTAAGTATATTACTTATCTAAATATTACTTATCACTAAGTAATGCATTTCTGTATGTTATTTTCACAAATCTATTTTATATGTACTTTCTCCCAACATACGCATTTTTGTAGACTTTTCTTTGTAATTGTAAAATTGAGTGGCATGCAAATCTCAAAAGATAGCTGTATTTTAGTTTTGGGGTAGGTTTGCATTAAAGCATGAAGTGAACTGAATTTCTCCCCCATCCCTAGGTGCAATAATGTCAGGACAAGACACATTTATATTGGGTTCCACAAGGAGAAGAGCAAAAAGAGCGCACCAGCCTCTCTGTCTCTCTTAATGGCTAGTTTGGCCCTTGGCGTACAGAGGAATAAGCATCATCCAAAGGACTGGGATATCTTTACGTTTGCAAGGGTATGTAAATATCTTTACATTTCCAAGACTAAATTGAAAGGGACAGGAGCTGGCCTGCTGCAATCAGCATGCGCCAGTGCAAGTTAAACTATGAACCACCCAGCTCGAAATGCTGCCAGCCTCGCTACAGATGTCCTCAGTTCCACTTGGAATGCCTTGGCCTCAAATCGCATGTGCGCTTGCTGAGTGTGCGCACAAACACACACACACACTCAAAAAATAACCTTGTGGGTGGCATAACTGCCGTCTTTTTCTTTTCGTTCACTCCCCTCCCCAACCGAGCATGCTGCTTTTAAGCAATCAGTCCCTTGTAAATTCTGGCTGGATGCTTCCCAGATTAGCTTTGGTTCGCTCACAGAGGATTTTGAAGCAGGCTGGCAGTGCTCCAGGGCTATCATCTTGCCTTTGTTGCTGTCCGTGGGTCTTAGTGGCACATAAAATATGGCTGTGTACACACAGCTGCTGGGAGGAAAACGCAGGGCTTCACATGCAGAAATCATTAAGTGCACTTACTTAGACCTGGTTCTTACAGTACTGTCGCCACATGGAAGGCATTGGAAACGCTCCTTCTTTGGCAGCAGCTCTCTGCAGAAGTCACCATGACGTGAGGGCCAGTTGCAGCGTGTATTGTCACCATCGCATGGAACTTTTATGTACCAGAGCTGCAAATCTTCTCGTTGCAGCTGACACACCTTGGTGCTACTGGGAATGTAATGGATTGGGGATGCAGGCGGGTGCATCTCTGGGACTTTTTAAAGGGGGAAAACAATGATGTGATCTGCCAGAGTGCCGCTGCAATTGTCACTTGAATGAAGTGGTAAGAAGTCTTTCAAGTTTGCGGCAGATTAACATAGATGAATCCAGAAAATGAGGTAAATTATCCAGCAGAGGCTGAATAATGTTTTTTTTTTTTGATGGAGGAATCCTACTTCATGCAGTCAGTTTAAATGATAGCACTTCTTTGCAAAATCGTTTGTGTTTCTGATGAGAAGCAGAAGGTTGCTATTCAGTTTACGGAAGGCCTTTTAATTATTTACTATATATATATATATATATCTCACACACTATAAAATCACAAGGTTAGAATACAAACAAAACAGAAGTTTATGCAGTCAATAAAAATCCATAACCAAAATACTAACGCAAAATATCAAGTGGCGCAATCTAAAAGTCAACAGGCAGGAAATAAATGCCTGAACAAATAAAGATATGTTAAATCATTGTCTTTTGTTAAAGCTTAGTGGGTTTTTACAAGCTAAAATTATGCAATCAAAAGTGAACACCCCTCAGTTCAATGGAGCTTGCTGTCAGGCAATTATGTATTTGGTTACAGTCATATGTGCCTAACAAATTGGTTATTATGCCGTGTACACTAACCCTTGATTTCCTGACCAGTAACACCTGAGGCAGCTCTGGGAGGGCTCCTGCTTGCATTTGAGTAAGAGATAAAACGAATGCTTTCCTAGCTTCAGGAGCAGCAATGACAATCACTAGCAGAAGCTGTAACACCTGAGCCAGGCTGGCAGACGGTTTTATTGTTGTTTCCTGTCTGCACCTGGAACATCCGACTGCTGAGGACTTAGTGGCACTTCAAGTCTACTGGGAACTTTTCTGGCAACTCAAGAAAAGTGTGGATGAAGGAAGGTGGCACTAGCCCTTGATTTCCTGACCAGCAACACCTGAGCCATCTTTAGATAGCTTCCTGGAAAGGTTGGTGGCTTCCTCAACAGATAAAAGGCTGCAGGGTGCCCCCTCCAATAGGGGGCCATTTCCTTGAGTCATTGACTAGTGGAAGGGGTGTTGTAGTGTTCTGGGTGAGAGCAATGGGAGAGGAAGGTTGGTTTTATATATATGTCCAAAGCTTTTACTGTTATTTGGTGGGAATCTGGGATGAGGGGTTGGAGTGAAGGAAATGATTGACATCATCTGTTGTCAACTGAGGAGCAGCTTCCCGCAAAGATTAACGAGATGCTTTTTCTTGAGAACTTTGTAGTATATGATCAAGCTACGGTACTAGGAACTGTGTGCACTTTTGTTTCTAGCCTTCAAGAAGAAATTTCATACACTTTCTTAGCTTTTTATCCCATTTGACATAGTAAAACTAGGCAGCTTTTGTTGGGTCTTTTATGCATTGCTAGCATGTGATTGTACTTGGAATGCTTCTGATATTTAATATTACTTGATACGTTTCAGAGATTGCTAATTTATATTATCATGATTTAAAATGTTACTCTGCAAGTAAGCTGGTCCCAAACCATTAGGGGCTTTATAGAGTAATAGTGACACTTTGAACTTTGCCCAGTAGCAAATGCGCAATCAGTGCAGGACTCTGAGCAGACAATGAGGTATTGATTTGCATTTTTGCGGTGTTTTGAGCTGCTTAAGGCATATTTATATGGGAAAGCAGCATACCAGGTAAAATAATGCATAATAATAATACTCTGGTGTGTATGTATAATAGGTAAGTGCAGCTGTCTATATTTTTGGACTCTCTTTGAGGGTGTGATGCTGTAATGAGCTCTTGCACTCCAGATTTTGGGGTGAAGGGTGGGTAATGTAATAATAATACACTACTGGAAACCACTGAGAAGCTCCTCAGATGTGGAATAATTCCTATCTGCTTCCCCACAGTGATCTCCTGCCCGAAGAATTGGCCCTGAAAGTTGACAACAGAGTCATCTTTCTCTTCATACATTATCACATGCAACCCATAAATGTTACTTCTATGGATAGCATTGAGCGATACCCTTAATAATCAAAGGGAATGTTGGAGACTGCTCCTTCAGGAGCTCTGGCTTGGGGATGGGCAGAAACATCTGCAAAATAGGAGCGTATGAAGATTTTTCACCGTAGGCAGGTATGCTGTCATCAATTAGCTCTGTTCAAGAATCTGCATCTGCCAAGATCTAATCACTTGATTAATTGCGTGCTTCTTTTGTTTTTACTTTGATATTGCTTTAGCATGACTATTATTTTACACCCACTCCCTCCATGGCACACTGTGTACACACGCAGAGGAAGCCTGGCATAGCTAAAAGGGAAGGTGAGGAGAGCCAGTGAAGCGTGATACCAAAAAGATGAGTAGTGGCTGCTGAAGGGCACCCCTGTTTTCCCCAAACTTTTAAGGCACCAAGCCACTATGGGAACAAGGCGTGCTGGGGTGAGGATGGGTATGTGTTGTAGGAGATGGGGGTATGTGTGCCTCTTATCACCTGTCTTGTCCCCCCAAACTATGGTACCTGTTGTCCCAGTGCCAGATTTACCTGCCAATTTATCTGCAGCTTGGAGGCTGTATTCTGGCTATGCGCAAGCTTTAGGGTGCCGCATACCAGCAGTGGGCGGGGCCAGAGGCAAAAGGTAGGAAAGGCTGCCAGATGCAAAAGTAGGTGGAGCAATGGATGTAGCTTTTACCTTTGTGCAGCAGGCTGCATTCCAGCTTTGCAAATGTCGGACGCTTTTGTGTACACACAGACATCCCTCCATCCTCCATCTAGGGAAATCAAGAGGACTTATCACAGTTCAAGGACACATTCCAAACCATGCAAAAACCCTCAAGGAGGACATGGAGCAGAAGGGGGAGAGCTGTGTCCTGGGGTGAAGATGGTATGGTATGCAGAGTCCCAAGAGCCAAATAGACAGGGAGGTCTGGAGGACCACATTTGGGTCAAGGGCGTGAGATTCCCCACCCTTGTTATAGGGGCACTATCTTGTCCTTTGCCGCTAGTAATAAAATGTCTTGGTCAGCCTTGCTGCAGATGGTTAGCAGCAAAGATTTAAGATCTGTTTTTTAGACTGCATACACACCATACATTGAAAGCACATTCCCTCCCCACAAAAATTCTGGGAACTGTAGTTTACCTCTTGCAGGGCTACAGTTCCCAGCACCCTTAACAAACCACCATTCCTAGGTTTCCTTGAGGGGCTGAATGTGCTTTAATCTCCCAAGTGTTGATCTGCTTCTGAGTTTGCAGCCTCGATCTGTGTGGGTGCGCAAGTTGCCTTTCAGAGATGTTTGTTTGCCATTATTGTTGCAAGGAGCCCTCCAGTTCAGCTTCCAAGGAATCCCAGTTTGAAATCTCCTGCTGAACACAAATATATTAACGTATGGGCCATGCCTAATACAGGCGGCAGTGCATTGTAAGCACCTATCCCAAAGTACAAATAGAAATATAAGGACACCAAGTACAGTATGTGTCTTGTTATGCCAGACATTGAAGAGAGCATTAGTTCAAAGGGTTGTGTTGAAATGAGAAAAACAAGTGGCATCTGCCCAAGGTCAGAAATGCCTTCCATTCTGTGGCTAATATTTTCCAGACAACCAGAACCTTGCTGAGAGATTTGTCATCAGCTCTTGTCATTCTTTATCATGCAACTGCAGCACAGAGGAGAAATCTCACCAGCTCTGGGGGTCTGGCAATGTATGTTACATGAGGATCACTTCTATTATATTCAGATGTTAGCTATGTTCGTGATGAGAGCCCTCGGAAAATGGGCTTGGCTAGCATTTCCTGGAGATGTTCAGTCAGTCAACAATTGGGATCATATTCCCAGTTTGGGTTTCACTCACATTCAGGGTCAACTGATCCTATCTTCACTGTACCTAGGTAGATTTTCTTTCCCTATCTGACGCTATAAGGTGTTACTCGGGCTCAAATTCTCTTGTACAGTATCAGCTCAGTTTGAGGTTCTCTTAAAACATCCTAGAGACCCCGGGAGACTTTCCAGAAGACACAATAAGCAGAAGTCTATTTATAGATGCTTCTAATAGAACACAGCAACCTTAATAACAAACTGTTAATCAAGTGCTTTTGTGATTCAGTTGAGAGCAGGTTAGCCCTGGGAGTATGTCTTGTCTGAGGCAGGTTAGACATACATACATATCTACATCTATAATTGTAGAGTTGGAAGGGAGCCTGAGGATCATCTAGTCCAACCCTCTGCAATGCAGAAATAGGCAGCTGTCCCATATGAAGATCAGATCTGCAACCTTGGCATTTTCAGCTCCACACGCTAACCAACTCAGCTATCCAGGTGGATGAATAGTTTCCTTAAAACACATTTCAATTCCTAATCATTTTAAATCTTTCCCATCAACCCTACAGTAGGGCATAGATCTTTACCCATCTCAGAGAAGGGCCATAACTCAGTGGTTAGAGCATCTGCTTTGCATGAAGAAGGTTCAATCCTCAATGTCTCCAGGTAGGGCTGGGAAAGGCTCTTTAATAGAAAACATAAGAAAACAACATAAGAAAAACCTGCTGGATCAGGCCAATGGCCCCATCTAGTCCAGCATCCTGTTCACCCAGTGGCTGACCCGAAAACAAGAGTACTCTACCTTCCTTTGGTTTCCAGCAACTGGTATTCAGAAACGTTACTGCCTTTGACCGTGGATGCAGAGCATAGTCTGACAAAATCTGGACGGCTCTTGGTTCCTCATCTCTGTCCTATAGCATTTTGTTGGTGATGCTATCTACCAGTGAAGCTTCTCTACCATCCATACGCTTCTCATTGTGGTCTTCTCCTTAGGGATTTCCTCACTGGTAAGCTTACAGGGCCTCCTCACAACTGCTTGAAAACTCATTAGGTAGCAGAAAGCCTGGTCAGGTAAGCGAGCCAGGTACCATAATGACTGCACAAAGAGGTTAATAAATGGACAACATGGAATTCATTGCAGGGATGTGCTATGGTAATAGGGCTTAATTACCAAGATGGCAATTACGACGACAACTTACTAAAAAGATCTGGGAAGAATCCCATTTCAGGGCGGCTTTTCCATTACAAATGACATGCCTTGCATATTGTCTGTCTAATTAGCGAAGAGAAATTTGAAGGCACGCAGTTGGAGCCTCTTGGCAGGTTGTTCAGTGGTGAGTGCGCTGCGTGTGTAAATGGGAGCGTTGGCAAGCGGAGGAGGAGGAGGAAGCTGCTTTGGCTTTTCTCTGCGGCTCCACCTGGTTTTCGATCTTACAAATGAGCTGGAAATGAAGTGTTTCTCCCGCCCTCCCACCCGCCGACCTCTGCTGCAGCAGATGCCCTGCTCTGGTGTCTCTGTGCACAGGAGCCCGTCATCAATATTCATAAGCAGGCTGGAGTCGGCAGGCACTACCAGTAAACAGAGGCAGCTGGATGGCTCCAAGTCAAGGCGAGCGTTGGCAGCAGGACCATCTCTTTTGGCACATGGAATTGCCCTTGAGAATGTGGCAGGAAGTCTTCATTTTCACTTGTGTACCTAAAGGCAGCCCTAGGCTAGGCGAAGACTGTGGGGTGCTGGCATTTGGGGAGATGGGATTAAGCCATGGGAAGGGAGTGTTGTTCAACCCAAGCACTTCATTTCCATCTGGACAGCTTTCTGAGGGCCACATGCCAGTTGTGGGTAGGGCCAGAGGCAAAAGTGGGAGGAGCGATGAATGTAAATTTTACCTTTGTGCAGTGTGCTAGTATTCACACACCACTCTTTGCATCCAGTTAGGCAAGAGGCCTCAGAGATTAAGGACAAATTCCAGTCAGGCCGAAATACTCAAGGAATGTGCAAAGGCCGGCCAGTGAAGGGTGGGCCTGGAGAGTGTTCCAAGGGCCAGGTAGAGAGGCTTGGAGGGCCACATTTGGCCACTTGGACTGCGGGTCCGCACCACTGAACAAAGGGATGAGTTTACAAGTGTAAACCTAACCACTACATGCCAGGCTGCCCACATCACTGTCCTTCAGATCCCTCCTTCTTGCCTCACCCAGGCAAGACTTCCCTAGACTTCCCGACTGTTGTTGGTCTGTGGTCTCCATCTTCTGGTTCCCTCCTCACCTCACCTGGGTCTGAATCTCCATGCTCTTGATTCCTCCTCCTCTCCTGTGCTCTCCTGGGTCAGCTGCCCAATCACCAGCTCATCAGCTTGTCATACTCTAGTTCACAGTGGCACCTGTCTGTGGCCAAAGGAACTGCAGTGTGACAACATCCTTACAATTTTATATATTAGAGACAGATATAGTTTGCGGAGGATAAAACTACAGTAGCAGAGCCAGTATCAAATATTTCCATTTCATTCCATGAATTGTACATTACATTGAGGAGGTGAGGAAAATAATTAAACTATGTAACTAATTTACACAAGGCTGATGGGAGAGAAAAGGAGGAGTGTCACTCTTTAAAAACAAACAAACCATCAAATATTATTGCTTGAAGTGCATCCGTCAAGTGCATTTAGTCCCAATATTAACAGCATACCTGATGTCTCTGCTTTCAGCAAGAATGTTTTGTTAGTCACTTAAAATGCTACATTAATGAATGCAAATGGGGGTTCCAGTTAATTTTTGTGTGCCTGACCTAATTCATACCCTGCTTTTTGTTGCCTGCAGCTTAAGTTCTCTCTTTGCCCCCCTTGGTAGATGTTTCTTGTGTTGCTAAAAATATTGCCTACAACCAATGGCAGTCAAGGGGGTGAATGGCAGCTGTGTGAGAGTGAGTCTTTTTTTTTTACAGAGACTGCATTTAAACTCAAAGCAGAAGGAGTCCAGTTACACTTTTAATAGCACTTGTAAATAAGAAATCCAGCACCGAATAACCTGGAGTCATTAAAGGTGGGCCTGTTGTACACATGGTTACACTTTCCCCTCCTTCACTTTCTACCACTGCAGCTCTTTTGCTGTAAACCAGCATCAATATTACACAGTGAGGCTTTGCTGAGAGTCATGATACGCCACAAACAAAAACGTGAATAGGAGTTCCTCCTGTATATGTGAATTACCCAACACGTGTCTCCTTCACTCGTAGCCGAGTGTCTTCCATGAACACAGTCTTAACGGTGAGTCTGTAAATGACTGTGGAGGCCAATTCTGGATCCACACATCCTTCCATAGTGGGGACATAGGTTTCCAGGCGGGAGTTGATCAAGATGAGAGTTTGCCAAACGTTTCTTAGCACGTTTCTCCCTTTTGTCCTGAGTTTGAGCGTCTTCAAAGTCCATAGCATCTTTGGTAAAGTCTGTTCTTCATTTGGAGCGCTCGCAGACCAATGGTTCCCAATTGTCGGTGTTTATACAATATTTTAAAAGATTTGCCTTGAGAGAGTCTTTAAACCTCTTTTGTTGACCACCAGCATTACGCTTTCCATTTTAAAGTTTGGAATAGATTAGTTGATTTGCAAGACTATAATCAGGCATCCAAACAACATGACCAGTCCGACAAAGTTAATGTTGAAGAATCATTGCTTCGACACTGGTGATCTTTGCTTCTTCCAGTACACCTGTCTTAGTTCATCTGTATTCCTAAGTGACATGTAAAAATTTTCAGAGACACCGTTGATGGAATCTTTTGAGGAGTTGGAGATGGTCCATGTTTCACAAGCATACATTAATGTTGGTAGTACAATAGCTTTGTAAACAAGCATTTTGCTTTCCCTGCAGATGTCCCAATCCTCAGACACCCTGCACTTCAATCCGGAGAAAGCTGCATTTGCAGAGCTCAGATGATGCTGGAATTCGGCATCAATGTCGTCCCTTGTGGAAAGATAACTGCCCAGGTAGGAGAAGTGATTGACAAAAACTTGAATATAAGTTCCTCCTGTATATGTGAATTTCCCAACATGTGTAGATGAGGTCACAGAGTAACATCAGGTCCAGTGATAGCTGGGGCCCATAGGACAGAAGGCCACCAGTAGGTGGCTCTACTGTCAATGACAGGCACAGCCAACTAACTAGATTCGTCCTGGCTAAGTTCTACAAGGGCAAAACTGAGACTTAGGAGGAGGAAGCAGGCAGCCAGGGTCACCCCAGGAATAGTAAATAAGAAGAAGAGGAGTCAAGATACAATTTGGCGGAGTAGTGCTACATTTGCCCGAATGGGCTAGCCTTCCCAACCAGGTCAGACCAGCTCTTATTATTTTTCTGAAGCAAAGGCTCTAGTAGCTATTGTTATTAATTCAGGATCAGTTCCTCCTTATAAACCCCAATTCCAAAGGATTAATGGAAGTGAGAGGATCACTTCCCCATTCCTTGGAAGTCTTAGAATAGACTGTTGACTTTAGGCTTAATGATATTTGAGCAGCACTTCACACATTACGTGTGGCAGTGAAGAGGCCAGAGGATCTTCTGCCTGGACTATATTTACCTACAGGAGTCATGTGAATGGCGTATTGTGCTGCAATATTCAGTCTGGGCCTAACCACTTCATGTCTCCAGGTCAAGGATGTTGCCCTTGAGCAAGCAGATTTGAAGCGTTCCCCTCTTCACCAATAAGCACTCATAATGGCTTTCCTCTGTTTTATTATTAGCAAAACGTAACACACCAAGCAAAAGAGGCACACTTTTCTACAGTCAGCTGTATAGCTTTTAGTATTAAGCAGGACTCTGCAGTTTTGCAAGAGTAATAAGGAGGGCCCTAATGATACACTTTAAATGCGAGTGCGTGGTGGGAATGAAATGTACTGTGAAAAGCAGACCCAAAGCGATCATTAATCTTTCAGTAAATAGCCAGATAGGTACATAGATCACATGCATACAATTGAGTATACAATTCTTCTTTATTAACCGCGGGTCGACACATGCAATTTTGTGCTCTCTCAGTGCATTTGAGTTGTCCGATGATGGTGAGCTATGCAGAATGAATGTTGCGCTCCTTCCTCTGCAGTCACATTGCTGATAACCTTAAACCTTACAACGCACAGGCAAATGCAAGCTCTGCATGGTGCTATTAGTCACTGATTTCACATGTGGTTACTGAGACTGAAGTCTTACGGACAATTACTAGGGGATAAGTCCCATTGGAATCAGTGAAACAGTGCCCAGCTACATATTACACTTTAATGATTATGTTTGCTTCCAGCTGTGGCAGAGCAAACTTAGCTAATTCTTCTCAAACCATGCCATGCTTGCTAATTTTCTATATCATGAAAGTGCCACCTTCCAGTAACTCATTTTGACTCACCAGTTTTGTGACCAGTGGAAGTGTTGGAAGGGCAACAGCAATGATTATTCAGAGTGTAACTTAAAGGTTAATTTTGTAAGTCAGCTAGCCAAGGGGGTGGTGGTAGTGAAAGTATCACTTAGTGACCAGGCAGAGTGGCATAATCTTCACTGAGGGTAGCCTGTGCTCAGATTGGCTGTGTAGTTCTGAGGGCATTTTCGTCTGTATGTTTGGTTGAAATCTCCCTGTTGTGTACAAAGCCTGAACTATGAAAGACAAAGCCTCTTTGTTTATTTCTCCTGAAATGATATACTGTTTTTGTTCAATTTGCTTAGTGAAGTATTTCCAGGATTTTTCTTTCTGGACTCTGCTTGCATTGTTTAAGTTAATTTGCTAAGAGGAAGAACTGCTTTGTCTGCTTGGCAGTCCTACAAATGGCCGCTTAGATCCAGTACAATACTTTGTAGAGGGCAGCACTTTCTTTTCTGCAGCAGGTGATGGGTGAGGCTTTCCCTCTTCTCTGTACCACCACAGTTCACCTGCTTCTCTTGTTCAAATACAGCTGGAGGGCAAAGTACCATACCAGAAAATTCAGATTTTGCAGTTAATACTCTTGCACAACAAACATACCACCCCCCACCCAAAGCTGACTTTTGCAGAAAGGGAAGTGATGGGGAAATGCGCTAGAAAGTGTGGCGTAATGCTTGATGCAACATGACATAACCACCTTGCAAACAAATCAGAATGAATGTTTAATAAATAGCAAACATTGACTAACCTCTTCACAAACTTTGAGTGAGCAAATCAGGATGAATGTGCAATAAACTGGTCATCCAGAAACAACCCATGGAAGAGCCAGAAGTGTCCTGTCCCCCCATTGCCCTGGTTACATTTACAAGAGTTTTATGATCATACCTTTTCCTTCTTACATAATGGGGACCCACCAATAGTGGAGGAAACAAATGTTTGCATCAATGGTTAAATCCCTCTTAACCCAAAGTGCCCCAGGCTGCCAATTGCCAGCTTTGTTTCTAGGTTCAGTTTTAGTGTGGTGGTCTCCCCAAGGCATCACTGCTTGGATCAATTTTACCTGGAAAGTCAGAGGGGAGGAAATAATTATTTTATTGTATATTTTGCTCACAGCAGAGCACAGTGGGTAAACTTAATGTCGCATCACTGTACTTGGACCGCAACAGACAGCCCCATTGATTTTTGATACGACTACTCTGGAGAAAATGGATTGCGAATTGGCTTCCTAATGTGACAATCATAGTTGAAAGCAAAACCGTAATAGCAAGGTTTGAATTGTTCTCTTCAAACGAGCCCTTGGAGAACATATCAGAGATGAAAAACAGAGGTAAAACAGCATCCAGCTGGGAACAGCTCAAGCCAACTCTCAAACAATGGAGGGGAACTGGCTAAGCCTTTGCCTGGAACTGCTGTTCCTCCTTTGGTCCACTACAGCAGTGTTTCCCAACCGGTGTTCCGCGGCACACGAGTGTGCCGTGAGACGTTGCCTCGTGTGCCGCGAGATGCCTGGAGGGAGGCGGGCGAGTCGGGCGGCGAGAGGCGGGGCGGCGGCGGCGAGGAGAGGCCGCGCCTCCTGCTGCTGCCTGGCGCTCCTCCTCGCAGCCGGCAGCGCTGCCTGGGCGCCTCCGCGCGACTCTGCCTCGCTGGGTTTGGTCTCCCAGCAGAGACGGGTCACACGCGCCCCTCCCTCCCTCCCTCAGCCTGCGCAGAGGGAGAGCCAGAGAGAGGCATCGCTCCTGCGCGGCGGGAGAGGGAGCAGCCGGAGCGATGCCCCAAACGAACGCATGGGACCGGAGGGGAAATCCTCTCCGAGGCGGATTGAGCGCAGCTGAGAGAAGCCTTTCGAGGAGCTGCCGTGTCCCCTGGAAACCCCCTTCCCAGCTCTGCCTCAGCCGCCGCCGCCTCAGTTGCCGCCGTCCCTCAGTCCCTCGCTCTGCTGCCTCCTCCCACCCCCAAAGCTTGGAGGTTCCCCAGCAAGGGGGAGGGAAAAAACTTTCACTTTTGTGCGTCCCTCCCGGCGTGACGCTGCGCGCTGACGTCACGGGGCGGGGCTTTAATGGTGGTGTGCCGCGAGATTTTTTTTCAGTAAACAGGTGTGCCGTTGCCCAAAAACGTTTGGGAAACACTGCACTACAGCCCGTACTGTGTCGCTCCCCTCTTGTTTTCAAGCCACATGTGAGAGAGGATCAGCTTAAGGGAGCAGCTAAATGTAGGAAAGGAGGGAGGCATTAAATTCTGTTTGCAATTAAATTCTTCCAAAACAGTATGCCAACTGAAACAGAGTATGCAGCGTACAGAAACTTTCATAATTAAAACGTATGTGCCATATTTTCTGTATGTTAAACGCAACACAGGTGGCAGAACCGATGGTATCTTGCTGCGGCTTGTCTGCAAAACATTTTGAGGATAAAAGCGCTTGCGTCCACTGGAATCTCGACTCTGCTGTTATAGCAGATGAATCTCAAGGGGTGTCCAGAGCACTGTCTAGTCCCACTGTGTTGGATTTCAGTTGGCAAGGCTTGAGGATGCAGACAAGGTGCTTGGATCAGCCAGGGCAATTACATGCGCTCTGCACTGCTGCCCTTCTTGGCTGATAAAAAGTAGCGGGGAAGGGACAACTGGCTGGGACACAGAGGCAATTAATGCCTCCTTGCAAAAAGGCGTCGTCCCTGCCTGCTTGAAGGAGGATGTGGCAAAACCACTCCTCAATAAACCCTCTCTGGGTTAAGTAATTACTGGCCAGAATAAGGAGAAGGAGCTAGAGGGTGGTTGCATTAATAAAAGCTCTGTTTTGATGAGGACAAAGCTGAAGCTTGGTGGTAGAGCATCTGCTTTTCATGGACAAGGTCCCATGTTCAGTCCCTAGCATCTCTAGGTAGGGCTGGGAGAGAACTTTGCCTGAAGTCCTGCCAGTTACTGTAGACAATGCTGGGCTGGAAGGACCCAGTGGTCTGATTCAATATAAAACAGCTTCCTATGTTCCTGTGATGGGGACCACTTTGTGCTAACTCTAGCACAGGAATAGCCATCCCTAGAGAAGTGGGATTAGCTTGTTGGGCCCCTGGCAGCTGTCCAAGGATGCAGCGTCTTAACACCCAGCCTAACTGTGCCTTTAACAGCAGCTCTGTCTGCAGAAATTAGCTGTCAATGCTTCCCACAGGATAGAGGATAACATAACTACCTGCTTACATCTGCAGATTTAATGCTGTTAAGGGCACAGTAGTGGCGATGGTGCCCTTAACAGCACTTAGGTGTGAAGATGTAAGCAGGTGGTTATTTAGGGAACCCGACAGAAGCTTAGGTAAATCTAGACAACAATATAGAACTCTCTTACTTGCACAGCTTCTTAGACGGAGAGATTCATCTTGCATTCCGAAACTGTGCCAGCCATACTGTGCAAGGTGATTTTTGACATTTTTGCTCCTGTTGCTGTTAATAATTGACAATGTATTAATGTAGGGGGAGGTGTGAATAACCTTTTTATATAGATCTGGATACATTTGGTGCTAATTAGACCAGTTAAGGTACAATTTATAGCCAGAGTCTGTTTTTCTTACCCATTGTAATTCAAGCAGTTTAATAATAATA